TAACCTATATTCCTATGAGAAAAGGTAGATTTTGTTGAGAAGGACATAATAATGATATGTAATTACATCTGATTTATACTGTAGCATGTATCCATGATCCTACTGTGTGGTGTAATACAGAAATCATAGATAAATTTAATATTATAGAAGCTAATAAAATTTATGATATTACTGAGGTGGTTGATCAAATGTATTGCGAAATTGAATTAAACCCCCTTCATGATGTTATCCCTATGGAGGAGAATTGGATTGAAATAGATTTAGACTTGATGAATAATAATTTGTATTCTCATTCACTCAGTAGATGCATAAAGTACAGACAGCTGTTAAGTCAGGGAGACAAAATAATTATAAATTTAGTCCAACATATGAGAAAGTTTTTGCTATTCTGTGCTAATATTATTAGGTTGTTCAGCTATCTATTCAAATCTGTACCAACCTCTTATTAGTTATTATAGGTGTTTGGAATTTGGTGCATTTTCATTGCTTATGTGGATATATGATGCTTTAGAGCAAGTAATTGCTGTCAAATCAAGAAGTATCATTAGATCTTAAAAAGACCTTGATCATGGGTCAAAGGGCTGGACTATGCTGTGAGGGGTGATTCCAGAAAACCTGGAATTGACCGGAGTTATTTTTCTAAAGTATCTGCAAGGCATTGCACCCCTTGATTAAGATATAAAACGTGCTGATTAAGAGTGTTGCTTTGGGGCCGGCCGAGTGGCTCAGTTGGTCAAGAGCTGGCTTGGGACACCAGAGGACCCCCATTCGGATCCCACATATGAGGGCCAGTAACACTGCCCTCTACAGCTAAGATGCTGAACAACAGCTCAACCTGGAGCTGGGCTGCCNTGATCATCAAGCAGTAAAAAATTACAAAGTACATGTTTTCAAAGAATGATTAATTTGATTTCTATGATCTCTTATAATGCTACAATGCCATATTATATACAAGATAGTTTAGTGTTGAGTATATTTTATAATATTCTATACCATATTATAAAATAATATTATTAGTCATACTATTTAATTGACCTGAATATTCCATTTTCTGATTGTGCTGGTTACCAATATATACATTATTTCCTATTACTCCAACACTGTGATACTAAGGAAACTATGTTTACTTAAAGAGTAATACTTATAAACCTGAACATACAAGGAAAATAGCTCCAAAAACAAATCACTCTTAGATTAAAGAATTTTGGAAATATTCCAAACTTATTTTTATTCTATAAAAAGAAAATAAACTGTTTTCAGATGAAAATTCCCTTACAAACCTGATTCACATAGTATAAGATTTTCCTGCAGTTCCATATGGCCTCCCCTAACTTTAATCCTTAAACTTTTTGTTTTTAATCATTCCCTATTTCATACACTCCCTTGAAATAACAAAAGCCTATTTTAAGGTTTTATAAATAAATTATAATTGAAAAAGTTTATCTTAAATACATGTAACTTACCAACAAAGAAGTCAGAAATGGCCAAGTTAAGGAAGAAATAATTACTTCGATGTCTAAGGTTTTTGTCCACCACAAAAGCTAAAATGACAATGGCATTTCCTAGCATTATAGCAAAAGCTAGTAAGCCCATTAAAAATGCTAAAGTAATGCAAGTGCTTTGTGATAAAGTAGTTGTGCTATTAGTAGCTGACATCACATCAAATGATGAAGTTCAATATAGCAAATTAATCCAGCAAGACAATTCTGACAAGAACGTTTCTAATTGTAAATGTAAAATATATAGTCCTCTACTCATAACAATATTTTTCAAAATCTAATGTTGATAACAGTACTTCCTGATCTTGATAAGCAAACTTGTGGTAACAGTTTCCCTTTAACACTAAAAAAAAATTTTCCAAAAGACAGTGAAAATTTTATCTTAAACATTTGAAAATGATTCATCCATCTCCCATTAATGAAGCAATATTACCTATTTGATCCATTATATAGATTAGAAATTGGGTTCAAATAAGATTCATTTTTAAAACTAATACAGATCCAGTTAAACATTCTCTTCTAATCATGACAAAATAGCAAGGGCTTAATTCACCATCCCATCTGAAACAACAACAACAAAAAACTGGACAACATATATGAAACAGTGGTTTTCAAGGCGCTGGCCATTGTTGTCTAGATGAGAGAAGGGAAGAAAATTCAGTGAGCCATGCAGTGACCCCAGCTTAGTGTCTTGAGTTTCCAGAGCACCAAGCAAGAGGAGACACCAGGAGGAGCCTAGCAGGTTCCCTGAGATGGGGAGATGGGGCTGAGAGTCTGGGAATACTGGACAGGACTCTATGCTGCAAAAGGGGACTAAAAGTGGGTTTCTGTTAGATAGACAATTATACCTTTGTGGTAGAATTAGAGGGAAATTGGTAAGGGGTGTAATTTACATGCAAGTCTTCCTTACTTCACCATAATTTTCTTTTTCAATGGTGGATCTCATAGTCCCTAAAACCAGAGCCATAATTAAGGGTCTCAAAGTCTGGTATTATTATAAAATAGGGAATATGTATATTAATTTGAACCTATTAATAAATGCAAAAATTACAAAGAGATGATGGGATAAATTCATCTATTCCCTGCCCTTTGCTAAACTGGGGCTGACTGTTAACAAATGTTTTTGCCGAGTGAAAGAGATAATTCCATCAATTGGGACTGGACCAAACAGGAACCCTGGAATATCTCAACTTGCTACCAGCCCAGTGACTTGACCAGAGGAAACTACATTAGGGGAAAGATTTGGATTTAAATTAATGATAAATGGAAGAAAGGTGAAATTATTGCTGAAGGGAGGGTAGCTAATAAATAGGTGCTACAAAGTAGAAAATCTAATATAATTTTGGTGCCTTTGGTAAAGCAAGATAATATTATTCTCTCTTAGCTTTGACTCAGGTCCCCATTGGTTGAAGAACTCTGTTTGCCAAAATCATCTTTTTTGAATAACCAAAATATAGGCAGGACAACAGCCAACCCAATGAATATACATACATATACTTCTGAGAGTGGTCTGTTTCCTCAAAATGGGTTGACAGGTGGGAGCTCTATCACTACACAGAATAATAGTAATGTGGCTATGTCTTCTGATTCCCACTTCACAGGATAGAGCTATTATTGAAACCCTGAGTTAGGGAGAAAACTATGGGAATATATATCTGGTTGAATCTGGAGAACACTGATTAATAATAATCTAAATTAACAATTAATGGCCATTAATTTTGATGATGAAGATTTAAGGTACTGGGATATAACAGTAGAAGTTCATCTTCTGCACCTCCCATCTGTCAAAATGTTATGTGTAAAAATAGCTCTTTGCCCTATTATTGTGGTTGGAAAGCCGTAAAGAGGTGGAGGGATCACTGGGACATTGGGTCATTGACAAAGAAAAGAATGTAGTCTGATTTGGTGGGCCTACATTCCTGAGAATGAAAAGCCAGAGGTTCCATGAGGATGGCTATGGGAAGCACTATGGCATCCCCCAAACAAAGCCCATGTAGCAGTGAGGACTACTCCTAGGACCTTAGGCTAAGTGAGTCTACATTGTTGGGCCCCAAGCTTATTTCCAAATCATAAGAATGCAGTTATTACTCAACATCAACAACAGGTCTGGTGGATCAAACGGCTTTTGCCTGCTTGAAAAAAGAGAGCATTGGGGTAATTAGGAGCTAGGCTAGGAGTAATTGATGATGAGGAATTCACTTTTGTTGAGGAAAGGTATTTTGGAAGAAAAAAAAAGATTTCTGGAGCAAGTGGAGAACCTCCAAGGCATCCTCCTCCAGGAGGAAAGACAGGATGACAACTGGAATGGCAACACAGTACTGGAAACGTGGGCCTTGCAATCAAAACAGACACTAAGGCAACACAGCTGTGTTCCCAGATATCCTAATTCAAATGGAGTCTGAGCTCTCCCAGGCCCAATAGCCAGGGATTCTCACAGCATGGGAGACTTATGGGCTACACAGTCTATGGAAATTTGTAGTTGGAGAATTCAATGTATTGAGGTGCTCTTTAACAACTTTAGTGCCATGACTGAGTGCTAACCATTCCTTTCATATAATATAATTCATGGGCATTGGACAAACTTTAAACAGGACTAGAGGGGCCCCCATAGAGAGTTGATAGACCCAATTGTGGGACACATCTCCCTGGGGAACACTATCTCTCGAACCATGTAACCANCAATAGTTGATTTAAAATAATAATACCAACAATGTATTTGATTGTGTATGATTAGTATATATCATATATATGCTTAGGTATGCTTATATGTAAATAAAATGAATGACAACAATGGTAAAATGGACAAGAGCAAGGAATTAGGACTATTTTGACTTCATAAGAAACTCACACTACCTGTGAAGTAATGTAGTGTTGTTTGAAAGTGGACTTGGGAGACCCGAGATGGCAGAGTAGATAAACACTGCTTGTGTTCTTCGGTGAACACATAAAATTACAGCTAAATTATAGAACAATCAACCTGGAGAACCATCCGAAGTCTAGCCAAACAGAAGTCCTCTAACTAAAAATATAAAGAAAAAACACGTTGAGGTTGGTAGGAGGGGCAGAAATGCAGAACAGTCCCTGCACCTGCATGTGGTGGTTGAGAATCAGGAGGGACATCTCGGCCACTGTGGTTCCAGGCTCCCCAGTCCAGCGTACTGGTGCCAAGAAAAGGAGCTTCCACAACAACTGGTTTTACAAAACAGTGAAGATTCTGACCATTTGTGTGAGCTGGAAGGCTGCGGGAAACCCACACATCCTCTTAAACAGCCCACACAGAGACTCACGCACATGCACTCACCTTGGGCTCCAGTGAAGAAATGGTGACTCAGGGGGTCCTGGAGACATATGAGGGGAGGGGCAGACTGAGGTGTGTGGTTTCAGGGGAGGATTGGAGGACAGTTGGCATTTTCCTGGTGAGGAGCCTACCTTCCATGCAGCCAACAAGAGGGCACCATTTTTCCTGTGTTGAGCCCGCCCCCTCCAGCCAAATCTGAATTTGATTGGCCTGGTGAGATCCGCTGCTCCACCTAGCTAACTCACTGGGACCCCACTCAACCCAACTAGCACACCACCACTTTCTCAGCAAGCAGCCAGCCCCACACACATTGAACTCTTTCTTGGAAAACTGTCAGAGTCCGGCAGGGCTCAGGAGGGTGGTGATTGGCCTTGATGTGCTCTGAGACTTTTGCTGAGTCACTCCAGGCTCAGCACTGGCAATAAACCAGAATTTACATTAACCTGGTGACCACAATTTTGCCCACTCAAGTGACTCCCTGAGACCCTGCCTCACCCAACTTGCATACACTTGAGGAGTTATCAGTGGCTGAACCTTAAGGGAGCTGGCAGGTGGCAGCAGGCTTGGAGTGTCCTGGCTTTTTACAGAGCTACCCTAGACCCAATACTGGTGGCAGCCATCCTCCGTTTGCAACATGGCCTCTCCCATGCATCTCCAGGTTGAACACAGTCAGTGAACAACTGCAAATCACTTTGTAGCTCCTACCAGATAACTCCCAGCCAGTTACAGGCAGTGGCTGACCTGGGCCTGCACTGAAGCCCCTCCCAAGAGGCCCCAGAACCAACATACTTGGAGCTTGGCTTCTGACCAGAGCACAGCACTGCCCAATTAGCCCCCAAGGGGCACACAAAAAGGGCAGTCTCAGCAGGCACGAGTGTGCTGGGGTGAATCTCACTCAGTGGGGTAAGCCTCCCCCATAGCAGCACATAATCGGTGGATGTGACAAACCCCGCAGCCAGTCAGCCTAAGGGTCAATCTCACCCACTGACATGCCAAGAGCAATCAAGGCTCAAATATAATAGGAGGGCACTCACAACTCACACAAGGGACACTCNTTCCCAGAGCTGTCAGCAAAGAACTGTGGATAAAAGACTAGATACATATGAGAAATATATTTTGGTCATTCAGATAACCAAATATGGATTTCTTATAAATCACAGTATCACAGTGTGCAAAGTAGATATATAATGACAAGAGCACTCTTCTAGAAAACTACTCTCTAGTGTGGAGAAAACGTGAAGTGGTTTTAGGGTCATACACAAGAGCCATCTGGCCCTGTTAGGCTCAACATCCCAGCCATCTAAGTGTCCCATGGGCTGGACCACAGGCAAAGGGCCAGGCCAAGCTGAATCAGACAGTTCCTCTAATATTTAGAATTTCAGTTAGTCTAGATTAGCATCACATACATGTTTGATTACAACACCTGTGGTCTATTTAGAGTTAAAGTGATTATAGGGAACCTAGAATTTCTAACAGAGGTTGGTGGAGGTGAAAGAAAGGTTGCTCTTACCCTAAGTTCTGGCAGGACAAGTACAGTGTTGATTAAGACCAACTGTATCTTCACAGTGTTAACCCAGTATTGTAAGCAACAAGTAAGTACCCAGGCGCTAGTCAGGCTCCTACAATCTTACCCAGCAGCGGGGAGCTCAAGAGGGAGCCAGAGAGACTGACTGGTTTTCTTACTGTTGTTGAGGGTCCCTATGACCACACTCAGCCTCCATGATTTGCTAGAAAATCTTACAGAACTCAGAAAAGCCATTATACTCACAGTTATGGGTTAGTATAGCAAAACAATACAGACTAAAATCAGCAAAGGCAAAGGCACATAGGGCAGAGTCCAGGATAGACCAGGTACAAGC